ATTAGATTACTTTTTGGTACTTGTCATTTCTCAAAATGTATGATCTTCTGCTGGAGCATCAGGAATGGTGCTTTGGAGGCCAGTGACTTCCCACTTTCTGCTTTCAGTCTGGCTCAGCCTGGCTGGCTCCAGCCAAGGATGGGGCTTCACACGGTCCACAAGGCAATGGAAATTCCTGCAGGACTTTTAAAAGCCATTTGGAAACAGCCCAGCCTTGCTCCAAGGGGAGCCAGCCAAAAAAACCCAAATCCCTCAGTCTTAAGAAAATGAGTGAAAGTGGCCAACCACCACATTGCCCATTTTCTTCTCTCCATTTTTCCATCCCATCCTGACTTTCCCTGTCTTTCTCGCAGGCCCAGTCCCTTTCTCACGCTCCATCTGCTGTTTCCTAAAGAGGAATATTCTAACTGATCCATCTTTTGGGATGACCTCACTTATTTTCTCCCAGCCCCAGGTTATGCCCTCTCCTTATCTCTGTGTGTGCACACGCGTGGCCATATCCCCACCCTTCTTGGCGTCACCTTTATTTTGGCCAAATCCTGCTGGATCGGTTACCCCAGGAGTCAAGGAATCTTCCCCGTGATAAAGCCGCAGAGAGCGAGAGCACAACCTGCTTATTCCCTCAGGCTCCGATTTTGCTGCCATTACAATGAATGGCAAAATTCCCATTCCCGAGGCAGGATCAGGCCTTCTTTTCAGCAGGGGGTGGTGGTGGCTGAGATTCCTCGGCTTGGCTGTCCAGCGCTCTCCTGTCTTGTCCACGACTTCCAGCCCTGGCCGTCCGGCTCAGCTGCCTGCAGCTGCTTGCACAGTGCTGCCCTGACCATGTCATGGATGCTGCATTTTCTCCGATGCAATCGCTCCATTAATCTCATCCAATTAATGCTTCAGGAAGCATTTTGCAAATATTGATAGTAAAGAAAGAGCTACAACGCAGAAATGGCTGCTGCTTCGGTAGTATCATCGTAGTAAGTCACAAATTACCTAGCTCAGGAGGGTTTTCTTTCCATACCCAAGACTTTCTTGGCTGCTCTTTGTCCTTTTTGCCCAGTGCAAAAGAGCCACACAGAAGAGGGATGGATATTTGTGACACCTTGGAGGCATCTATAGGAGTGACCTGTATGGCTGGTGGGGGAAGAGGTTGTCACATTTTCCTCCCCAGCAGTTTCCCACCGTGGTGGCTTTCCCTCTTTGCCATAGTGCCTTGACTTGGCCAATGCAACCAGCTCATGGCCAGGACTGCAGTGGGCTTGCTCCCCACTCCCCATCCCGGCGGAGGCATGTTCTCCTGCTGCTCACAGTTAAAGAGGGTGTCTGTGCTCCTGCACTGACCCTGGGAAGTGCTCAGCTCTCTACAGCTGTGCCGGGGTCCTTGAGGAGCTCCGTTGAGCACCTCAGCAGGTCACTCTGGAGACCTTTCGCATCAGACGTGCTTGTCCTGTTACACCTAGCCCCATCCACTGGTCCCCACCGCATGGGCTTCCCATTGCACACTCCCTTTTCAGCTCCCTAGCTCTGAAACAGCTGTAGCCAGTCCATCCTGGCACAGAAAGTGGAAGATCATAAAATCCTGATTCCTCTGCAGGGAGAAAGAGTCTCCTGGCTCCTTGTGAGATTAAGCTTTGTGCATATATCTGCAAATGTTAGGGGGCAGAGGTTAAGCTGAGCAGTGCAAGGGGAGGAGGTGACAATGCTTAGCAATGCAGATCAGGTGGCTGTGAGACCTTCCAGTATTCGTGGCCAAATCCTGGGATATTTAGGGGTTTAAAACGTAATGAAGTCAGATGAAGAAAGGAGTGCTGCTTGGGTGAGAAAGGACGGGTGAACTCAGCTCCCTGGAAGGAAGCTCTTTGATCTGCTTGTAGCCACAAAGGTGGCCAGATGGCTTGGTGGCCATTGGGGAGGTGACTGTGCCCTCTCAGGCAATCCCCAGAGGCAATCCATGCTGCTACCTCCAGTGGGGGAGCGATTGGGAGAGGAGAGACACGCATGAAAGCAGATTTGGGGTTTGGGTTTTGCTCTGGCTGGCTGGGATGGCTCCTCAAAGTCCTTGCATCCTCTGCCTAGAAAAATCAGCCTTGCCAATGGGATGCAGCCATTGCTCCTGGCGGCCTTGCAATCCTAGGAGTAGGTTTTAAGGCCATGCAAAGGTGACAGCTTCCCGGGCACCTCGGCCTCGCTGGAGATGCGCACAGGCGCTGGCTGCAGCTGCAACCTGCTGTGACCAATTTGCCACCCCTGCTCCAGCTGAGCTGCGTGCTCACGCCTGCTCCGAGCGCTTTGTTCCGCCCTTTGCCGCTGCCTCTGGTTTCCGGGGAAGGGCCGTGCTTGCTTTATGGTCCTTCGGTTTAATCCATTTCTTCTTTTTCAGCTGCAGATTTGTTAAAAGATGGGAGGTCAAAGGACTTCCCTGGGATCAGGGACCAAGTCAAGGGATTCAGCTGATGGAAAGGGAATCCAGGACTTGGGCAGGGCAGAATCTGATGGATCTTGTGCAGGACCTTTTCTCCCTGTCTCCTTGCCCACACTGGCATCTCTCCCTGAAACCCACTGAATCCATCCCTAGGAGAAACAGGAAGCTGAGCATGGTGTGAGGACATCCCAAGCTACCTTTGCAGGGGTGCTCCAGGTGTTGGGGGACATCTCTCTCACCCATCATCCCCAATCCTTCCGGGATGCTCTGGGAAGGAGCCTGAAAGGGGAGCGAGATGGTGCCACATGTGCAGGAGATGGACGGTTGATTTGGGGGGGCTCTCCCCTGCCACAGGCACCATTCCACTGGGCACAGGGAGAGCCGTGGGTGCGCGGTGTCGGCTTTTGCCTGTTCTCAGGGACACCACAGTGGGCTGCAGCAGGGTGAGACAGGCTCACTGCTCACACCCAACCACAGGGCTTGTCTGATGTCTCCTCTGAGCTGTTTGCCAGCCATCTTGCTGGCTGTCCCCCATCCTTCTCCCTGCCACCACCTCCTCCCCCTGCCACGACAGTGCCTGCTGTAATCCCAGTGCTCTGCCTCCTACCCCAGTTCTAATCCTATAAACCCTTGGTAAATCCTGCCTGCCCGGCCCTGCCTCTCCAAGTCCCTTCTCCAAGGCAGTCTTCATGAGGTTCCCTTGCTTGGGGCTGGCATTTTTTGGGGACACACAAGCCTGTCACCAAGATAATGCAGTTCCTTGGGTGGTTGCTTGCATCAGAACACTGGGAAGGATGCCCGAGCCCCAGGGGGGTTCTGCAAAGTGCTGGTAGCCTAAATAAAACAACTGATACACCCCAGAATGCACCTCAAAATGTGTCCAGGTGCTGGTTTCGTGCTCTTGGGAAGCAGTTCCCATGCTCAGTGTGAGCTGCTCCAGCATGTACCCAGCTGGAGAGCTACTGCTGAGCTCCAGGGACTGGGTGGTGGAAACCTGGATTGGACAGCACGACAGCTGTCCCAGCTAGGAAAGCTGTGGAGGGAGCAATGTCGGTGCAGCGCCGTGCTCCTCTTGGCAGGCCTCTGCAATCCCAATTATCCCTGGACCTGTGTGCTTTCTGGTTCTCCGGACCCTAACCCTAATATCTTTTGGCTGAGGTTCATTGTCCAACTGGGATGAGGGATGAAATGGAGCAAAAGGATGTGTAGCTGTTGGGTTGGGATCGCTCCTTGTGGAGAGAGCAAAAGGGCTGGCGATAGGCATGGCGAGTGCAGCCAGTTTTAATAATCCTTTCCTCTGGGCTGTTGGAAAATGTTGAGAGGGAAGACACTGCAGCAAGGTGGATAGGGCTCAGGGAACAACATCTTTGCAGCCAAAAGAGCTGGATGAGGTGGACCTGACAGGTTGGTCATGTCCATGAATCATGACCGCATTGCTAAGGGCAAAGAGCATCTTGTGCAGAGAAGGGATGGGAAGCCTCTGTCAGACTGACCGGCAGTCGGGGCCGTTTCGGTTTGATTCTCACAGGGTTCACTGTTTCAGCAAGTCTATTTTAAGGCTCTCATGGTGTGTGGGAGAGGGGCTGGTACGAAGAGAGGCCCTGATGCTGCGAGGTGCTGCCGGCACCCATCGCCAGCTGGGGATGGGAGGCAGCAGGGCAGCCCCAGGCTAGGACCCGCCACAGCATCCCAGGAGCACCAGTACCAGGAGAGGAGCCATCCTCAGGCTCAACAATCCTCCCCGTGGGAGCTTAGGTGGGCAGTGAATCACTAGTCCAGAAAAGATTAAGCTGACCTAAGAATAAAACCAAGCCCCGCCGTTCAACCGGCTGGGATGAAATGGGAAAGCGTGCCGCTGAGCCCAGGAGGGGAAGGGATTACAAACCCTGCGCAGATCACGGCTGCATGTTTCGGTGTGCAGGGCAGGCACTGTGCTCTGGGTTGCACTTCCCGGGATGGATGGGGTTTCTGTGCCTACATTCCCAGTGCTGCGGTGAGGTTCTGTGTGCGTTTCATCCCGCTGACCGCCAGTTCAGCAACTCCAGTAAGTGCCCATGCGAATGCAGGAGTTCAAACAGGGGCACGTTTCAAGGAGAATAACCCAATGGATCTCTGCCCGTGATGCCTTTATTTCTATAGAGCCACTCCCCTGCGCTATGCGCTGGATGAAAGGTGCTATGCATATAAATAAATGTGATAATTGTGATATACCATCCGCTTTGATCACTGCCAGCAGCGTGGACAGGATCAGAGTCTGCTCCCAGGTAATGATTCCCCCACCCCATCTCCCTGCTCCCTTCCCTTTCAAATCAGGGGTTGTCCTAAGGGGCAGTTCCTCAAAGCATCACTCCCTGCACGCAGCTGCCTTGGCTGGTTTCTGATATTTCCACCTGCAATCTAACCAACATGTTATTTTTTTCTCCCCCATCATGACATGACAGTCCCTGTCATGGAGATGAGACTGGGACCCAGAGCTGCACTTTGCTGTTCCCACTAACGAAGGGCTTGCAGAGGAGTTTGATGTCATTAGGGGTCCACAGGATGCCGTGCCATGAAACGCCTCTTTGCTTTTGTCTCCTCTTCCCAGGGACATACCAGGGCCAGTGGGTCGGAGGGATGCGCCAGGGTTATGGTGTCCGGCAGAGCGTTCCCTACGGCATGGCTGCGGTTATCAGGTCACCCCTGAGGACGTCCATCAACTCCCTGCGCAGTGAGCACACCAACGGCACGGCGCTGCACCCCGACTCCTCGCCGGCGGTGGCCGGCAGCCCCGCTGTCTCCCGGGGTGGCTTTGTCCTCATGGCCCACAGCGATGCCGAGATCCTCAAGAGCAAGAAGAAGGGCATCTTCCGGCGGTCACTGCTGAGCGGGCTCAAGCTCCGTAAGTCCGAGTCCAAGAGCTCCTTGCCCAGCCAGCGGAGCAAGCAGAGCTCTTTCCGGAGTGAAGCCGGGATGAGCACAGTCAGCTCCACTGCCAGTGACATCAACTCCACCATTAGCCTGGGCGAGGGCGAAGCCGAGCTCTCCGTCATCGAAGACGACATCGACGCCACCACCACCGAGATCTACGTCGGCGAGTGGAAGAATGACAAGCGGTCGGGCTTCGGGGTGAGCCAACGCTCAGACGGGCTGAAGTACGAGGGAGAATGGGCCAACAACAAGCGCCACGGCTATGGCTGCATGACCTTCCCCGATGGCACCAAGGAGGAGGGCAAGTACAAGCAGAATGTCCTGGTCAGTGGCAAGAGGAAGAACCTCATCCCGCTGCGGGCCAGCAAGATCCGTGAGAAGGTGGATCGGGCCGTCGAGGCGGCCGAGCGGGCGGCCACCATCGCCAAGCAGAAGGCGGAGATCGCAGCATCCAGGTAAGGTGGTCGCTGTCCCGATACGGTGTCTCAGCAGGGGGCCCGCCCTGATGGCTGGGGTTTGATGGGAGAAGTGGGATGAGAGTTTTTGTGGCAGTAGGTGCTCAGAGGGGGTATTTTAGGGAAGCTGCTGGAGGCAGGCAAGCGCTGCGGTGGGCATCTGCCAGCACAGGCAGTGGCCAGTGCTATATGGACCCCCACGGGGCAGCAGGCAGCATTCCGGAAAGCCAGGCTGCTGGGCCTGCCCAAGTGCTGCTCGAAATGGGATGGATCCAAGCTGAATTGTCCCTCTGCTAACTCCAAGTGGGCTGTGGATGCATAACCTTCCAAAATCAGGACATGCAGGGTCACCCAGAGCGGTGCAGGGAGTGGTTGCACCATGGTGGGACTGCATTTGTTGGTCACCCTGTGGGGCTCACAGGCTGATATCTGTCACTTAGGAGGTTCTGGGTTTTGTACCCCCTTTCTTCGTAGCACCTTTGATAAGCAGGACAATCCCTCAGCAGAAGTGCTCCTGAGATGCTGTTTGCCCCTACCCTCTGTCTGACTTAGAGCCAAGAGGAACCATCCCAGGGTTGGCCTGTGCTGGGAGGATTCCCAGCTATTTCTGTTCCCCAAAGAGGTTTTGAGTGGAATAGCAGTCAAATTGCTCGCTGCAGCTGATGCCTGGGGAGGGTTTGCCCTGTCTGAGGCTCTGCTGGAAAGCAGCAGATCTGGGTGCCCAAATAATCCCTACAAGCCTCAAGAACCCCCTGCTCCTGGCGCTGGCTGTAGCCCGCACGGAACTGCTCAGTGATACAGAACAGGGACTTGATCCAGCTGAAAACTAGCAGGTGGGGGAGGGAAAAGGGGTCACGTCTAATTTAGGTTGAAATAGGGTCCCACTCCCAGCTCAAAGCAAGGCCAAATCCAGCACCTTCTAGCCAGCTCCCAAAATGCGCGCGGAGCTTCGTGACTTGCAGTGAGTTCCCAGACAAGCGGTGAGCTGAGGAGGAAAGGCTCCTCTGCAGAATCCAGGACTCTTTGTATCCCTTTTTAGGGTTGGTTTAATAGAGCGTGGTCATTGCTTTCTGGTTTCTGAGCAAGTGCTGCATATAGCAGCCAGGCTGGGGTTAGGGGAAAAACCCAGGTACCTCCTCAGTCGCCTGTGCTGGATGAATTGTTGGGTCTGGATCATTTGTATGCAGAGTCACACTTGAAATCTTTATCAGCATGTCTGCCGGTGACTTATCTGCAATGTGAATGAGACTCCCAGGCCTGCTTTGGGAGCGTATTTGGGCTTGATGATGTTTTCGAGCTGATGTTGTACCAAATTGTTGTCAAAGCTTTGGGAAAAAAAAAAAAATCCCACTAGATTGCCAGGTAGGAAACTGACTGCAGAGCAGCGGGAAGACCAGATCTTTCCCTGTGATCTGGGGATGGGAATGCCGCGATACAAAGGTCTGAATCCTGGAAATGTGGAGCTCTAGTCTGCCTTGGGATGCTGGGTCTGGGAACGTGAGCATCCTCTGTCCCCAGGCAGTAATGGTCCTAGAAATCCATGAGAGCAGGAGTTGGAAGAGATATGACCCCCTCATGTTGGAAATACTTTAATGAGCTCTTGGCATATAATGTTCCACCTTCTAATTATGAGAGAAAAGGAAAAATAATCAAATTAGATCACGGTGCCAGGGCGTGAATACCTTCCTCCACTGTACCAGCCAGGGTAACGCAGAGCGGGCAGGGAGGATGCAGCCTGTGGCCACGTGTGCGCATGGAGGAGGAGAAGGGCTGTGGGATTTGGGGAGCACCCGGAGTACCCCTTTAGTCATCGGTGGAGATGCAAAGAAATAAATGAATGGGAGCACACTGCTTTGAGGATACTCAAAGTCCCTCCAGATAATGCTCCGTTAACGTGGTGTCTCCATCCCGCAGCCCGGCTCCTTCCACCGTTGGCGCTCGGTCTTAACTAGTCCGTTCTTGCCTAGACACACGGGGAGGAAAACAAGCCCCGGGAACCCAGGGCTTTTCACTTCTCACGGCACAAGGGCTGCTGCTGTCTTGCAAAGCCCTTTATTGATCTGCTGTACAGCCCGTCTCTTGCTGCGTGAGCCGGGGACGGACAGACTCGGACGTGACGCGGGGTGCGTTAGTGCTGGGTTACCGACCACCAGTGACGTCCTGACCAGGAAGTTTTGCTGCCTGTGTTAACGCTTCATGTTGAGACCCCAAAACCTGTCACCGAAGAGCCAAACCGTTTGGCTAAGGCCAGGCAGGGTTGAGGCTTTGCTGGGGCAGGTGGGATTGGGTGGGCGTGCAGGCTCAGCCTTGGAGGGTGGCTTGGGCTGGCGTTTTGGCAGCACACAGGAGAGTCCCACGGACCTGGGAATGCAAGCGGGGAGGGCTGCTTTGTCTGAAACCCACGCTCCTTCAGCTCGAGCTCTTCCCCTTTGTCCAGGTTTTTGCATGGACAGTCTCTCCTCAGCTGCGTCCCAGCAGACAGAACCAGAAGAAACTGAGGTTTTACTAACCTAGAACCAGCTAGAAAGGCTTTCATATAATTAGTCCGATTAATTTTAAGGCTTCTAAATGAATCAACACTCCCCTGCAGTGCCCACACCGAACTGCATCGTCCAAAGAGAAAGAAAGGCACAGAACAGGCGGTGGGTGCATTGGCGGAGGAATCCTGATGCTCATTTCGGTGTTTTTGGGGGCTCAGGGGTGCAGCATCCACCGTCTAATACCAACGTGAGCTCTGGCTTCCCAGCAGCTGGGGATTTCGTAACAGCACTGGTGTGTGTCTGTGTATGTGCATGTGTATTCTCTTCTGTCTAATAATACGGCTGAGTTCACTCTGCAGCCTTTCCCTTGGTGGGGGAAAATATGTGCCCACCCACGTATTTCATTAAATTTGTAAGAATTCAGTATTTTTGAAAACTCTACCGCTCTGTCAGATTTGGTTGGAATTGGCCAACACGTTCAAAAGTTATTAGTGTGGGAGTGATGGCATATAGATATATAAACAGCACAATCACATAAGTAAGCCCCATTTCCTGAGGAAAGTAGGCTAAAAACATAGTGTACTGAAGACAAGTAAATTGGATTCTTAAAGTTGTTTTAGTCTGAGCAGAGTACAATGTTATCTGTGACACAGAAAAGTAAGCTCATTTAAGGAACAGTTTTTAGGTTCAGTAGATGATTCTCCTAAATTTTCTCGGATGCAATTAAAAGGAAATAACGCTTTTGTTCCTCTTTCAGCTCCCATGTGCTGGACTGGTTTGTGTACAGTCAGGGGGTGAGAAGGGCTATGAATCAGGTCTGGAAAACCTGATACCAGCTATCAGTTTTCCAAGGTAGCCAGGGAGGAAGTGCTTTAAAACGAAGGTGCAGGGTGTCCTCTTTGTGCCATGGGCTGCTTCGTTCCCCTCTCGCATGAGCCAAGAGCTGTCACTCCGCTGCTACCATGGAAGGATGAAGGATGCACTGGACACACCGGTTCCCAGTAGCGCTAACGCTGATACCTAAGGCAAATTGTCCGTAGGCACTGGTGGTCAACTGAAATATATGTAGTATCCGGGCAAGAGCGGTGGGCCAGGAAGCTCATCCTGACCCCTTGGCTTTCACCACAGCTGCTGGCACGTGGAGCGTTTGGGGGAGCTCAGGAGCGACTCCAGCTCTCCACGACGGATGATGGTAGCTTAATGCGAGGCAGACAGACCCTGATTCTCTCCAGGATTTCCGTCTGCTACCGCAGCTCAAGGTTTTGTAATCAGTGGCTGGACTGCTTGTGAGAGGAAGGGCAGTTACTGGTGCTAGGGGTATGAGTCCTAGAGACGGGCACATTTGGCAAGCGCTCAGCTCCTATCTCCAGCACAAGGTTCCTGGGGCCCCGTTGTTCAGCACCTTAAATAACAGCTCCTCGGAGCCGCTGATGCCCTAGCACCCCGGAGGGGATGCTCTTCTCAGGTTAGTCCTAAGTAACGCACTTCCAGGCATAATTATAGCCGAGCCATTCACCAACAACGAGAAAAATATAATTAAGCTCAACAGTCTCAGGAGGAGTGGGGCTACAAATTAGCAGAGTGTCATTCAACTTCAGAAAGGGAAACTGGAGGGAAAAAAAGGAAAAGGAAGTGAATAAACAAGCTGGCAGTGAGGATGGGTAAAGGAAAATGTTTGGACTCAGCATGGATGCTCCTTCAGGATGCTGCAGTGAGGGCAAAGCATCCGTCCGTGTTTGACGTACAATGGGGAGCAGGAAGGCAAGAAAAGCCCCGGAGAGCTGAACAGCAAAGTGCAGAAGGTTGTTTGAGCCAAACAGGTATTTTCTTCAGAAAAATGGAAATGCAGCCTAGGCAAAACCCACAGAAAAGAATAGATTCTGCAGTTCTGAACATTTTAAGTTGCGGTAATGTCACTACCGGCAGTACGCCGAGCCATAATAATGCTGCTTAATGCTCTCTCAGGCCTGTGCCTGCAGCTTTGCAATTGTACTTGGCTGCATTTGATTTAAGGTTTCTGCTGGCTTTTCTGATGCCTGGGGGAGGTGGCTGCAGGGCTCCCGCAGTAGTCTCGCCCTAATCCCCGCCTCGTGCTGCCAGAGGGGCTTTTGCTGCGGAAGGAGAAGGGGGAGGAGAAGGGATGTGGGTTAAGGGGGATGCTGTGACCCCCAAAAGGGTTACGTGCCCCGTTCCTCGGGTTGGGATGGTGGGGATGAGCCGACAGTGGACTGAAGCTGAAACAGGTCAAAGCTGAACTGGCTGCAGGGATTGGGCTGAGCGAACGACTCAGGGATCAGACCAGGCACGCTGGAGCCTCCCACCACCTTATCCAAACCCCTCTTTGGGCACCTTGGGATCCAAGGGGGTTCTTCTACTTGTGGCCCCTTGAAGACATGCTGCCCCTTTCCCTGCTGAGGCCATGCAGGAGTTCAGCATCTGCAGCGCCCTGTGGCATGGTGTTCCCCAGCTGGAGCTTGGGGCTGTGCACAATTCACACCCCCCTCCCATTTGTTTGGGACT